TCTTGCTCCGGCTTCAATTTCTTGATAGAACCAGACCGGATTACTTTACTATGGCATTTTTCGCCATTGCCAAACTAAGACCTTCCTGTTCGACGCAAACTCTTGACGTCACCCAAATCTAACTACAACACCCACCTCCCGCGCTCTCTGATTGGTCGAAATTCAACCGATTGTAATCGCTAACATGGGGACCAGACCCAGACGTTACATGCAGTGAAATGGTGATTGAGCGGAGTGTACGGATGGATAAGGCCAGGCTGTGAGATCCCAGCAAACTGTATCAAAATGTCTTCCTCATGTGTAGATTCCCACGTGGATCACACACTTCTGTTATCACTGTCATTACAACATTGTACATTTTAGAACCATTTCACCTGCAAAGAGCACTTCACAAAACCATCACTGGTACCTAACAGAAAAGGCAGGTGTTACGGACGTGTTCTCTGGAAGCTTTGAAACACTTTTCATGACAGGTTTCTTACTTTGCAGCTACAACGCTCGCACTTTGACTCAGTTGTAGATGAATTGCATAATCTCCCTCTCATCATCTGAAACATTTTCCATCATGTTGTAACAAAACCCCATTCAGCCACTGCACTTTCAAAGCAGTTCCACAATCCACTTACATTTGCAAAAAGGAATAACTTGGAGAGAAACACAATGAGAAAAACACACCTTTAGGATCTCAGCTTTTCATTTCAGAAATTGTGGAAACGGTTTAAACATTCAACGATACCAAGTCATTACCTGATGTCATGGATCCAGATTGGCTTTTATGTAAGAGGCATTTGGATGAATCACTTCCAAAGCTTTTACGGAAAGTTCAGTACGTTTGATTTATTATATTTAATCATGAAAATAAATCCTAATGTTAAGAGATATTTGTATGTATGTGTTTTTGGGCTGACCATGACCTTTGACCATCTGCTCCCTCTGGACCAACGGCTTCTATGAGTTTGTTATTATTGTATTTTGTCATGGTGTAGGTGTTTTATTTTGAAATGCGTTCGCCCTGTGTCTTCATTAGTTCTACTTCCTGTTTGACTACATGCCCCGCCCACATGTGTATCTATCTGTGTCTTGTGAGTCTTGTTTTTAAACTTTGTGTGTTCCTTCTTTCACTCCCTGGATTCCTGTTTGGTTCCTTTGTGTGTTTTTTTCCCTGGACTTTGGTTTATTCATCATTAAATCATAATTTTTGGCATTTTGGGTCCTTGCTTTGATCACCCCATGTGACAAATTCCTGTGCTGTTGTGTTCTCTGATCTTTTATAAAGGCCCATATCACAACAGCAGTCTTATCAGAGGACTTTACTTCCGATTTGCCAACAACAGATCAGAGAATCAAGAAGTTTGAGTACAAGAAATAAGATAAGATACTTTATTGATCTCTGATGGAGAAATGTCACATTTGGATTGAAAGAATTACTCAGATTGTGTATAATAGTCTGTGCAGGATATAATTATGTACGATAAAAAGTGGCAATGAAAGAAAGAGTGTCAACAGCAGAGCAGGTTTTTCAGTCCTAGTGCATCAGTGACTTATTGTACAGTCTGACAGCAATGCGATAACAACAAACACATAGGAGTTATTCAATTTAAACATTTTTGTCTTGTATTGCCCTAAATCACCACAGTAATTATTTGGCAAAACCGTTGAAATTGCAATCAAACAGTTCAAAAATAAAATAGAACACATGGTATTGGTCCATAGGGGGTGTTGACCAATGTCCATGAATGTCCATAAATGCTGTAGAATGATTGGTCGATAGGGAGCGGGAGGACCAATAGTCGCTGTTCTTAGACTAGGCATGTCCAAACTCAAGCCCGGGGGCCAAATGCGGCCCTCAGTGTCATTTTCCGTGGCCCTCTGCCTCGCTAACCCAAAGAAGTCTCTGAGATCACAAACACAAGTTCACTGTGTCATCCATCCAACTTCAGCTCAGCCCATATAGACCTGTTCAGCTTCGTTATAGATCATTTTAAAGACCGGATCAGCCCGATCTAACCCAGTCAAGACAGTTTTTCAGTCCGTGACTTCGGCCCCTGGACTAGTCTGCTGAACTATACTGGCCCTCTAACTAAAATGTTTGGACACCCCTGCCTTAGACCCTCCTGCACTGGCAAGAAACAAGTAAAAAACAAAACCAAAACTGGGAAAGAATGTGTCCAAAGTTGGATGGAGTGTTGACCAATGTCCATGAATGTCGAAAATTTTTGCTGAATCATGTATTGGCCGATAGGGAGCGGGAAGACCCTTCACTGTCATCACTGCCCTTAGACCCCGCTGCTTTGGCAAGGAACACAAAAACAAAACCAAAATTGGTAAAGAATGTGTCGATTATTACGACGGTTATTAGTGTTGTTTAAAAGTTTGACGTACGATTTTTCCACACAGACCTTGCACTTGTTTTGTAATCGGCTCCAAACAAGGTCAAATCACGACGTGTGTGTTTTCTTTCCCTAAGTGTGTTTAGTCTGTCAGCACATCCCGTCTGCAAATCTCTTTCATGAGACGCCTCGACGAAACGCAGTGACACGTCTCCCCGTCTCCTCAGCGCTATATTTAGATCCACCACATCTCAAATAAATGACATATAACGCCCGGTTCCAACGGCAGGAACACGTTCTACAGGTTCCCCATTACACGACTGATAAAACAGCCTTTACCTGAGAGCTCCCATTCAGAGATGAGACACTTCTGATTCGAAATGACCTTTTACTTCTGCAGCCGTCGGATAAATTATGCGCCGGCTCCGGTCGAGGAGGACGTGTGTTTCTGTGGACCATTGATTTGAATTGAATTAGAATTTTTGCTTCTTTTATTTTGCTAATAAATGCCAAATCTTGTGTCTCTCGCAGTTAGGGGACAGTGGGTTTGAGAGCGGCAACAGACGCATAGTTAACCATGTCAGACCTGAATACATGAACTTAGAAGCATGGCTAACCACTTCCAATCTGCATTGAAGAACAGAGGCATAGCTAACCATGTCACACCTGTATTCATGAACTTAGAAGCATGGCTAACCACTTTTAAACTGCGTTGAAGAACATAATCATAGCTAACCATGTCAGACCTGAATACATGAATTTAGAAGCATGGCTAACCACTTCCAAAATGTATTGCAAAACATATGACCATTGATAGCCATGTCACACCTACATTAACTACAGTAACTTAGACACTTTTGATTCTAAATGACCTTTTACTTCTGCAGCCGTCGGATAAATTATGCGCCGGCTCCGGTCGAGGAGGACGTATCTTTCCGTGGACCATTTATTTGAATTGCCTCTGGGGATTTCACTTTTTTTGTGTTTCTTTTCTTTTGCTAATAAATGCCAAATCTTGTGTCTCTCGCTGTTCGGGGACAGTGGGCTTGAGAGCGGCAAAGTTAGATAACCTTGTTTGGCTCGTGTAATTATTTTAATGTATTCAGCAGCAGCGAGGAATACAGGAGTGTGTTTTTGGTCCAAGGTTCTTTGTGGATGTGATGGTCTCAAGATTGATTGATAGTTTTTTTGTGAGTGAAAACATTAATCCAAGCTCCTAATTATATTGTGTCGCGTTACGAGCTGAACAGACACGCACTGGTTTTGTTTTTTTAAAGATGGATGTCTGGAAAAGTCTGCTCCGGGCTGAAATATGTGTGATTTATACTGCTGTTCTGTGTGACGCAGGTGGAAAGGTGTTCGGTATTGATTCTTAGCGTTGGAATCATTATTGAGAATGGAAAATGAAGGAACATTTTGGCTTCAGGCTTGGGTCCATCTAAAAGTAGTTGTTTTCCTTGTTTACCAGCAAACAGAAGATTTGGTCATTTATAAATAAGGCTGGTAACATATGATAAGTCTTGGTTTTAGTTTTCAGGGTTGTTTTTGTTGGCTTTAGAACCACAATTGTTTGTTTGGCTCTGCATCGCTCCCATATGAAACAGGTCTCACCATTAGTTGCTTGTGTTTTCTCTCTGTCCCACACCAGAGGAAAAGTGTTGCATTGAAAAGGTAAAGGTTCACTTTATTAATCCCCGTAGGGCAATCCATCCTCTGCATTTGACCCATCCTGATGCCCTAAGGCTTACGTCAGGAGCAGTGGTCGCCGTAGTAACAGCGCCCGGGAACCTATCTCCAGATGTTGATGCTCGGCTTGGTCAGGACCAGACCTGAAGGATCTAACCTAGTGTGTATGTTTTTAGTGGTAGGGGAAACCGGAGCACCCGGAGGAAACCTACGCAGACACGGGGAGAACATGCAAACTCCACTCAGAAAGACGCTATTCTGACCGGAATTCGAACCCAGGACCTTCTTGCTGAGAGGCGAGATGCTATCCACTCAGCCATCATGCCGCCCTAGTAGTAGCAATATAGATTTTCACGTCAGGTCATCATTAAAGGGCCCTAATCTGTCATCATTAAAGGGCCCTAATCTGTCATCATTAAAGGGCCCTAATCTGTCCTAATTAAAGGGCCCTAATCTGTCCTCATTAAAGGGCCCTAATCTGTCATCATTAAAGGGCCCTAATTTGTCATCATTAAATGGTCCTAATCTGTCATCATTAAAGGGCCCTAATCTGTCCTAATTAAAGGGCCCTAATCTGTCATCGATAAAGGGCCCTAATCTGTCGTCCTTAAAGGGCCCTAATCTGTCGTCCTTAAAGGGCCCTAATCTGTCATCCTTAAAGGGCCCTAATCTGTCATCATTAAAGGGCCCTAATCTGTCATCATTAAAGGGCCCTGATCTCTCACCATTAAAAGGGCCCTAATCCGTCAAAAGGCATTAATAAAACATGTTCTTTTCCAATATTTCTTTAACTAATAACAGTAGTTCAACAATATTTGGATTTCAACATTAGTTTTACAGTCCATCTCAGTATCTATCTCTGTGATTCCTTCTTTACAAAGTGATAAAGTCATAATCAGGATGATGCGACCTCGCGTTTGAATTCACTTTGTCTCTTTTTAATTAAAACCTTGTCTTTTCTGAAGCTTCTGAGAAACTTGTCGTATGCAGACTTCAAATGAACCTCCAAAGGCCAGCTCCATGGACCCCTCTCCCCTCAGGCAGATGGATCAGTCCAAGTCCGAGGTAAAAGCCACTGGCAGGAATCCAATCCATCTCAGATATTTCATTATTGACGACATAAAACCATTACAGCATTTGACAAACCGTACATTTAGTTTCTTGGGGAGCAAAACTGGAGAAGGAAGTCTGGGCATCTCTGCTTAGACTGCTGCCCCCGCGACCCGGCAACGGATGAAGCGGAAGAAATGGATAAATGGATGGATGGGGACCTAAACGGACCAATGCCAACGCCTCCTCATAACATTTGCAAAACCTTAACCAAGTTTAATCCAAAGTTTGACTTGTTTGACGCGGCTCTACTCTGAGCAGCGGCTCTACTCCGAGTTCCTTGTCCGTCCCGTCATTCATCCATGACCGTCAGTGAGGATGGGGGCGGAGACTGACCGGTGCCTTTTGACTCAGTTCCTTTTTACCCACACACTTGTATTGAGGACTTAGAAGCATGGCTAACCACTTCAAATCTGTATTGAAAAACGGACGCATCGCTAACCATGTCACACTTGGATACATGAATTTAGAAGCATGGCTAACCACTTTTAAACTGCGTTGAAGCATAGCTAGCAATGTCACACCTGTATACATGAACTTAGAAGCATGGCTAACCACGTTCAAACTGCATTGAAGAACAGAGGCATAGCTAACCATGTCTCACCTGTATTCATGAATTTAGAAGCATGACTAACCACTTCAAAAATGTATTGAAGAACATATAACCATTGATAGCCATGTCACACCTACATTAACTAACTTAGAAGCATGGCTAACCACTTTTAAACTGCATTGAAGAACAGAGGCATAGCTAACCCTGTCTCACCTGTATTCATGAAATTAGAAGAATGGCTAACCACTTTACACCTGTGATAATGAACTTGGCATGGGTGACCGCTTCAAACATATATTATTGAATTTAGAAGCATAACAATATATCTATACATGAACTTAGAAGCATGGCTAACCACTCCCACCACCCATATTGGTTAATTTGGACCCACTTTCTTTTGCTGTTTTGATTTAAGGAATACGAACTGGCTTTAAAAAAAAAAGGGAAAAACATTTATTGCACTGCAGAGTTTTTTTGTTAAGTAACAAGGAGCTCATTAAAAATATAGGACACAGTTTGTACAAGCCCGAGTAAAGACCACGTGGTTTAAACACTAATAGTTTGAAATGATCCTTTTAGGAAAAATCTCTCAAAGTTTCTTTGCAGGTTTCTGCAGGCTCTGAAAGTGCAACTATAAAATAGCTCATGAGACAATTGGACTTGGACATGGAAAAATATAACAAAGTTAAAATTACAGGCCTCTTGTGTTATGTTATATGTTTGGGTATGTTTATATGTTTGTGTATGTTTATATGTTTGTGCGTCATGTCAAATACACACGTTGACCTAAACCTCACTGACTTGCCACAGTTTCAGATTTTAGAGGTGCATTCTGCCCAGCAAATTTAAGGTGATTTGAAAACCCACTTTGATGTGCCACAGAATATCATTTTTTAGACGATGTAAACACCAAGGGCACCAAATTAAAGATTCACCCTCCTGCTTTACTCTTGAAAAAAACAGTTTGTTTTCTACCTCTTACCGTTCTGAGGTATTCGCCATAAGAACAAAGCATTACTTTCACCCCATAAACACCTGGTCTGAAGCAAGAAACAAGGAAACGAGCTGTATGTAAACCAGGAACATATCCAAGTCATAAAAGAGACTTTAGATGCATTTTGCTGCTTAGTGACAACTCAAAACAATCTTCACACTTGTTCCATTAACAAATATTGATAAAACATGACTCTGAAATAATACTTTTGATGGCAAATTGTTGGCAATTTTATTCACAATAGAAAATTTAAACTTTCTTCTATCCCATCAACCAAAACGTCGTACAACAACAACACAAAGATCAATAATACTATAGAATGCATAAAATAGAATGAAAGCTATGTGAATTTGAGTGTGTGTGTGTGAATGTCCGTGAGCGAGCGAGTGTCTGTGTGAGTGAGTGTCAGTGTGCTAGTAGAGTGTCTGTGCGAGTGAGTGTCTGTGTGTGTGAGTGTAAGTGTGCGAGTGAGTGGCTGTGTGCGTGAGTGAGTGAGTGAGTTGCTGTGAGTGTTTGTGAGTGGTCCGATAAATCCCATGATCAGGTTTGCTGAACGAATCCGAGGCATCAGTAACAACATGCAGCTGATACGCTGCGAGAGCGGAAGGTGTGTCTCTGCTCGGCCTTCTTGCTCCGCGCAAATATGGCTGCAGATACGGACCTCCACCGGGGTCTCCCCTCTCTCCCCTCTCGGCCTCGACTCACTGATCCCGAGTCAAATCTCGAAAGCAGTGTATTCTGCTTATAAATATTCTTTTTTGCCATCACTCTTGCTATACTATCGCTTAAACTAGATCTGATCCGTCTCAAGCTACAGTAACGCTTTCATCGCTCTGCTACAGCAGCACGCTCTTCCAAAGACCCCACACTCCTCCTCCTTCTCTCCACTGACTTATGACCTCATCCTGTGTGCATTACAGCATCCACTGGTGGTGATTTATCATGACAGGGACATTTGCCTATATTCAGTGTTGTGGGTCATTAACAAGGTGCGCCAGACAATACTGCTGCCTCCCTGTAATACACGAAAAAAGTCGTCTAAGTTCGTCTGGGGCAGAGCGTCACTATACAATAGAACGACTTTTGTCGACAATGGGCATGATTGAGTTTAACAAACTGGACCAATACTAACGTGGGGGTGTTTGTGAGTGTGTGGGGAGTGTTTGTGGAGTGAACTGTGGAAATGCTGAACGAATCATGGAATAACTAAAGTTTTCTGTAAGGGTTTTAATGTGACATGAATTAATTTATTTTTTGTCAACACATACGGTGAAGGACTTAGAGATTCAAAGATGACAAGCTTTATTGAACAGGTGTAAAAGTGAATTTTTTTTGTACTCTGGGATGAGTACTCTGAGAAAGTACTCTGCGGAAAGTACTCTGAGATGAAATACCTCGCTGAAGGTACTGGAGCACCTCCTCTGCGGTTTGTCCGACAGTGGATTCGGTCCAACCGCAAGTTGAGCGGTCATTGGGAGGAGGACAACTTTGGTTTGTAACTCACATTGTAAGGGGAGTGTAAAATTAATACATACATATTTAGTTAAGTCTGTTTTGTGGCTACAGCCTCTGCCCTGATGTCACACTCCGTCTGTCAATGCAGTTATTTTTTGCCCAATTGGATTGATTGACAGGCCGCACATGCGACGAGAGGAAAGATGGCGTTTCTTGTGGTTCTAATGTTGTTTTTCAGATGAAAGATAATCTGCACCTGCTTCAGGGATGACAGTAGTATGAATTAAGGAAATTGAGCCTCTACCTTTGCACGCAAGCCCACAAGATGAATTGAAGGACGATCCGGGAGGAGAAACCTGGATTGGAACAGTAATCTACACACACATAAAGATGCATGTTTTATTCGTGGACCACGACCAACAAGGGGAGTATTTGTATTGTCATAGGGGTCAAGGTCCCTTAACATTCGAAATCATTAGATAGAAGTGTATAACATATATTTACAAGAACAAATAAATTAGCGAAAGGGCAGCCTAAAAAAGCCAAAATGGGAAAATTATTAAGTAATTTTCGGGAGTTGCCAAAAAGGAAATAAAAGTCTATATTTGTCCCATAAGGGGGTCATTCTAAATTTAGTTTTGTGCAAATTCAAAGGGTTGTTGTGCAAATCTCAAAAGGAAAATAATAGCGCTTATAACATCAAACAGATCTAGCTCTTTTAAGATAATAGATCATATAATAATAGATAATAGATAGAATAGAATGAAATAGACTGGAGCTATAATGTCATTGGATTCGAGAGCTATAGGTTGAAGTGTCCAGAATAAACCATAGTAATAATAGTTAGACTAGTGAATAATCAAAATAGTTCATTGTGAAAAAAGTATCAGATAATGGTCCCAAATTAGTCTTATAACTAAAGTAAAAAGGATCAAATAGAGTCAGATTTTAGATCTCTGTTTTCCCATCTGTAGGACTAGTGCAGATGTGTTTATAGAGAGTAGTTTTAAAAGTTGCAGACATAGAACGACAGGCTTTAACCACAATTTTAAATCGTAAAAATAGCTCAAATCTAACATTGCTTTTGACGCAGGCCTCTGACTGCTCCATTGGAGAACAGGTCAAATGTTATTGTGTATTACAAACAGCTGAGGTATTTACACATATTAATTTGGGACACTCTTTAAACAGTTTATAATCATCGACAGAAGCCATGAATGTGCTTTTGGTATTAAATAATTAATTTCATAGCCTGAAATGGTTGAGAACGTTTTAAAATATTTAAAAATCCCTTCAGGCAACTTGATTTAGATGTATGTCTTAATATTGGAGAACGACGTTTTGTTTTTGGATTGTCTGAAATACAATACATAGATTAGTGATTTGCAAACAAGAACGGCCAATAGAAATAATCGTCTATTGCCAATGCAATTGTTACAATCAGAACTCAAAAGGTTGGGAATATGCTTTGGCTCAAACTACAACCAAATTTGGGATCACAATAAGAGTGTACAATAGATGAGATGCTTTCAAAAATAGAGATTAATTTTTAGACAGGGCTAATATCATACGGTAAAAGGACCATTTCCTTCAATATTATGTCCAAAAGTATTTACTTCAAAGTATATACAGTTCATTACAGTTTATGCACAGTTTTCATTAGATACTGTCAAATTCACTTGTTTCAAACAAGGTAATGTAGACATTGCAAAAGCTTAAGGAGATTGATTAATGAGATCGATTAGAACCAACCACAGATTCAAAACATTTGAAAGCATTTTTTGGAAATTTGGGTATAGACACAAAAGTAATCTTTAGGTAGTTTTTGAGAATTTTTAAGAGTCAGCAACAGATTAGAGATTCAAAAATACCGTTGTATAGGGACTAACCCCAGAGAAACCTGCTGAAATAGATTAGTCTCCTGTACGGATAATACCAATTTGATTAACGATGTACATTTATCCAAACGGTCTGAGAGAATGAAGTGACAGCACTTCTGGTTCAACAAAATGTTTTGGGAAAAATGAGCAAGCCCCACACAATGGCACAGAGCCACTAATAATGACAGCAAACCACAGTATAGATAGATTTAGTAGATAAAAACATCTGTTTTAGAGAAAATGGCTCAATAAAAGCAAAGATGCAAACATATTGGTAAATAGATTAAATTAGTTTAAACTAAGTGACTAGTTTTAGTGCAACATTACAGACGAGGTTGAAGAAGGATCAGAATGACTGCAGTGGTCATGCAAAGAGTTTATGAAGGAATGTTCATGTGGTGTGTGTTTGTTCGTCTTCCTGTATTAAACTACTTCACAGATATCGAGCCAGAACTAGATGATGGAATCTCCCAGTCCCGTCACCCAGAGAATAATGAAAGATTGTGACTATTGGTTAATATAGGTCAAAAGAGGGACTGACAATATTCACAAATGCTGCAATCAGACAAAGGAATATGCCTCAGGAATCATAGAGATGACCCACTTGACAAACCTGACATTTAATTAGACTCCAAGAATAAACAAATGCTGCTCTGCCCACTCTCGACGAGGGCAAAAGTCCAACCAATCAGCGCCCATGGTGGGGGCATTGTTTCTCAGGTGGAGATGGAAGACCGGTAACAACCAGGACCAGGGGCCAGACCATCCCAGATCTGTGACTATCGGAACCCTTTGATTAGAAAACTGCTGGAGAGAGATTGGCAGTCATCACCGAGGGCCAGGAGAGGACATATTGAGTTTAGGAAGCCTACTTTTTTTGTTGAATATCTGTATCTGATTGTAAAGATAATTAAATGCAGAGTTAAACGTGAAGATCTCTTGTCTCGCTCTTGCATCGACTTTGGTCGTCAGTCAAAGGGGAATTGTTGACACTTCATACGATGGTAAGTGTTATGGGTTAAGGGGTCTGAGTTAGATGGAAGTTAGGTTAAGAGGTCTGAGTACGATGGTTAAGGTTAGGTTTAAGGCGGTCGAGTTAGATGGGTTAAGGTTAGGTTTAAGGTGGGTCTGAGGAAGATGGTTAAGGTTAGTGTAAAGGTGGTCTGAGTAAGAATGGTTAGGGAGGTTAAGTGGGTCGGAGAAGATGTTAATGTTAGGGTAAAGGTGGTCTGAGTAAGAATGGTTAAGGTTAGGGTTAAGGTTAAGGTTAAAGGCGGTCTAGAAAGATGGTTAAGGTTAGGGTTAAGGCGTCTGAGTAAGATGGTTATGGTTAGGTTTAAGGCGGTCTGAGTATGATGGTCAGGGTTAAGTTAAGGCGGTCTGAGTAAGATGTTAAGGTTTGAGTTAAGTTAAGGCGGTCTGAGTAGATAGGTTGAGTTAGGTTTTAGGCGGTCTGAGTAAGATGGTTAAGGATAGGGTTAAGGCGGGCCTGAGTAAGATGGGTTAGGGTTAAGGTTAAGGCGTCTTAGTAAGATGGTTAAGGTTTGATTAAGGTTAAGGCGGTCTGAGAAGATGTTGAGGTAGGTTTAAGGCGGTCTGAGTAAATGGTTATGGTTAGGTTTAAGGCGGTCTGAGTAAATGGGTTTAGGGTTAAGGTTTTGCGGTCTGAGTAAGAGTGGTTAAAGTTTGAGTTTAAGGTTATGTGGTCAGAGGAAGATGGTTAAGGTATCGAGTAAAAGGTGCAGGTTCATGTGTTTTAGCGTTTGATTGACTGACTTGTGTTGGTGATTTCAATGGTTTTGTTAAGTCTCTGAGATGACTTCTGTTGTGACCTAGGGCTATACAAGAATAAATTTATTGTAATTGTAAGTAAATGGTTAAGGTTAGGTTTTAAGGCGGGTCTGAGTAAGATAGTAGGGTTAGGTTTAAGCGTCTGAGTTAGATGGTTAGGGTGTAGGTTAAGGGGGGGTCCTGAGTAAGATGTTTAAGGTTAGGGTTAAGGTGGTCTGAGTAAGATGGTTAAGTTAGGGTAAGTGGTCTGGAGTAAAGATGGTTAAGGTTAGGGTTAGGTGGTCGTGAGGTAGAGATGGTTTAAGGTTAGGGTTTAAGCTGCACTAACTGACTTTTATTTTTGTATTCATTACGGAAAAGCCTATCCATGTCCATGCAGTTTCATTGGATATTGCGTCCTTTTGAAGAAAAAGACGCTGATTTTGGCTGGCGTGACATTTATATTTAGATCGAGTTTTGATGAAACAAGGAAGAAATTGTTCGTTCGGGGGGCTTGGGGGGGTTGAGTGTGGTTTGTGGTAGGGGTGGGGGTGAGGTCGGGGGGGGGGCGGGGGGGAGGAGGGGGGGGGGGGGGTGGGGGGGGGGGGGGGGGGGGGGGGGGGGGGTGGGGGGGGGGGGGGGGGATGGGGGAGTGGGGGGGGGGGGGGGGGGGGGGGGGGGGGGGGGGAGGGGGGGGTGGGGGGGGGGTATATGAGGTACAAATGGCCCCCACTGTCGTGTGATATCTACAGTCCGTTTAGCACAGGAGAAGGCTGTAGGGGAGCAATACAAGGGCGGACTAGACCTGTAGCTTCCTCATGTCTTCGTCACCGGGTACGCATTACTAAACAGCGAGACAGCCATCCAAAAGAAAGTCTCAGTTCCGCACCGCGCTTCCCGGATTTCTATCGTTCTAATGTCACGCCATCCACGATGCAAATCCATGGTCCATGGTATATTATCCATATTGGGAGTCGCAGCTCCGTCCCAACAGGTGTGTGTGGGGGCGATAGCTTCGTGGTGGCGGGAGGGGAGCAGAAAGAGAGAGGCAGCGAGTCTGCGGCGTTTCAAAATCCCAAGTCAGTAGTGCAGCTTTTAAACCCTAACCTTAACCATCTCAACTCCAGACCACCGTAACCCAACCTTACCATCTTACTCAGACCCTTAACCCTAACCTTAACCATCCTTACCACACCACCTTAACCCTAACCTTAACCATCTTACTCAGACCCAACACTTAACCCTAACCCTAACCATCTAACTCAGACCCGACTTAATACCAACCCTAACTATCTTACTCTGACCCGCCTTTAAACCTAACCTTAACCATATTAATTACAAGCAATACAATTATTCTGTTATAGCCCTAGGTCACAACAGAAGTCATCTCAGAGAACTTAACAAAACCATTGAACTCACAACACAAGTCAGCCCAATCAACAGCTAATACATACATAACCCTAACCTGTCTTACTCAACTACCTTACCATCTTACCAGACCACCTTAACCTTAACTCAAACCCTTAACCATCTTACTCAACAGCCTTTAAACCTTAACCTAACCTTCTTACTCAGACCGCCTTAAACCTAAACCTAACCATCTTACTCAGACCGCCTTAACCCTAACCTCAACCTTCTTTACGTCAATAAGCGCCTTAACCTTAACTCAAACCTTAACCATCTTACTCACAAACCGCACTTAACCTAACCCTAACCACTTACTCACACCAGCGCGTAGACCCTAACCTTAACCATCTTACTCAACCGCCTAAAACCTAACCTCAACAATCTTACTCTGACCGCCTTAACCTTAACTCAACCTTTAAACCATCTCTTACTCAGACCAGCCTTAACCTTAACCAACCACTTACTCAGACCCGCCCTTAACCTAACCATAACCATCTTACTCAGACCCGCCTTAACCCTAAACCTTAACCATCTTACTCAGACCCGTGCCTTAACCTTTACCTTAACGCCGAACCTTAATCCATCTTACTCAACCTACCTTTACCCTATCCTTATCCATCTTCCTCCGACACCACCTTAACCCTACACCCTAACCATCTTACTCCAGACCAATCCTTTACCCTACACCTTAACCTTCTTCCTCAGACCCACCTTAAAGCCTAACCTAACCATCTAACTCAAGACCGCCTAACCTAACCTAAACCAGCGTAACTCAAACACCTTAACAAACCTAAACCTTAACCATCTTTCTCAGACCACCTTAACCCTAACCTTAACCATCCGTACTGAAGTCATAATTTCCCTTTGACTGACAGTATCCCAAAGTCGATGCAAGAGCGACTAAGAATCTTTCACAGTTTAACACTGCATTTAATTATCTTTACAATCAATACAAATATCAATCAAAAAAAGTGCTCCTAAACTAATAGGTCCCCTCTCCTGCCCTACGGCTGACTGACTGCAAATCTCCGCCCAGCAGTTTCTATCAAAGGGTCCCGATGACGTCACTGATCTGGACTGGTCTGGCCCCTGGTCCGGTTCCTGGACCCGGTCCTTATCCATCTCACCTGAGGCAAACAATTACCCACCACTGGGCGCTGATTGTTGGACTTTTGCCCCTCGTCGAGAGTGGGAGAGAGCATTTGTTTATTCTTGGAGTCAATAATTGTCCTGTTTTGTAACTGGTCATCTCTTATGATTCCTGATGCATATTCCTTTGTCACCAGATGTGCAGCATTTGTGAATATTCGTCAGTCCCTCTTTTGACCTATATTAACCAAATAAGGTCAACAATCTTTCAATATTCTCTGGGTGAGCGGGACTGGGGAGATTCCATCACCTAGTTCTCCTGGCTCGTATCTGTGAAGAGTTTAATACAGGGAAGATCGAACCAACACACAACCACATGAAAACATTCTTCACTAAACTCTTGGATGACCACTGCTGCATTCTGATCCCTTCTTCAACTTCGTCTGTAATGTATGCAGCTAAAACTATTCACTATAGTTTAAACTATTCTAATCTATTTACCATATGTTGCTTCTTGCTTTTATTGAGCCATATTCTTAAAACATATGTTTTTATCTAATAAATCTATCTATACTGTGGTTTTGCTGTCATATCAGTGGCTCGTTCCTTTTTGTGGGGCTTTGCTCATTTTTTCCTAACACATTTTGTTTGAACCAGGAAAGAGTGGTCACTTACCTTCTCTCAGACCTTTGGATAAATGTACATCGTTAATCAAATTGTATTATCCGTACAGGAGCCTAATCTATTGTAGCAGGTTTCTCTGGGGTTAGTCCCTATACTTAACGGTATTTTGATTCTCGTATCTGTTGCTGACTCTTAAAATCCTCAAACTACCCGAAAAGAAAAAAAAAAAAATTCTACTTTTGTGCTATAATCAAATTCATTAAAATGCTTTTCCAAATGTTTTTGAATCTGTGTTGGTTCTAAAAGCGAATCTCTTAATCTATCTCATTACTTTTTGCATTGTCACCATTCACCTATGTTTGAAACAAGTGAATTTGACATACTTAATAAAACTGTGCATAAACTGAATAACTTATCTACCTTTGAAGTAAATACTTTAGGACTAATATGAAGGAATGGTCCTTTTATTTAAACCGTTTGAATATTAGCCAGTCCTAAAAATAATCTCTATTTTTGAAAGCATCTATCTATTTTAACACTCTATTTTGTGACTCCAATCTTGGTTGTAGTTTTTGAGCCAAAGCATAATACCACTTTAGTTCCTGATTGGTAACATAGCATTGGCAATAGAACGATTTTTATTGGCCGGTCTTGTTCTTCAAATGAATTCACTATTCTATGTATTGTATTTCAGGACAATTCACAAAACGAACACAGTCGTTCTCCAATATTAAAAGACATACATCTAAACAAGTTGCCTGAAAAGGGATTTTACTATTTTAAACGTTCTCTAACGATTATAAGGCATGAAATTATAATTATTTAAATAAACAAAAGCACATTCATGGCTTCCTCTGTCCACTGCTTTATAACTGTTGTATAAAAGATGTCCCCAAACTAATATTGTAAATACATCATCTGTTTGGAATAACAGTAACAATTGACCGTTTTCTCTCCAAGGAGCAGCTCAGAGTGCTGCGTCAACAGCAATGTTTATATTTGAGCTATTTTTAGATTTAAAATTGGTGTTAAAGCCTGTCGTTCTTTGTCTGCAATTTTAATACTAACTCTCTATAAAAACATCTTCACTAGTTCCTACAGATGTGGAAAACAGAAGCGATCTAAAATCTGACTCCATTTGATTCCTTTTTACTTTAGTTATTAGAATAAATTTGACATTTATTGATACTTATTTTCACAATAGAACTATTTTGATTTATTCACTAGTCTAGACTAATTAATTATATTGTTTTATTCTGACACTTCAACCTATAGCTCTCGAATCCAATGACATTATAGCTCCAGACTATTTCATTCTATCTAATTATTAACTTATATTATATGATCAATTATCTTAGAAGAGTAGATCTGGTTTGATGTTAAAGCGCTATTATTTCTCCTTTGGAATTTGGCACAACACCCCTTTTGAAATTTTTTTTGCACAACACTAAATTTAGAATGACCCCCTATGGGAACAAATTATAGAATTTTTTTATTTCATTTTGGCAACTCCGAAAATTAACATAATAAAATTTCCCATTTTGGCTTTTTTAGGCGCCCTTTCTATATTTATTTGTTCTTGTAAATATATGTTTTACACTTCTTTCTAATGATTTTGAAGGTTAAGGACCATGACCACTCTATGACAATAAAATACTCCCCCGCTGTTGATCGTGGGTCCAAAGTATAAAACATGCCATCTGTAGTGTGTGTAATTACTGTTCCAATCCTTTTCTCCTCCCGGATCGTCCTCATTTCATATTGGGGCTTTTGGTGCCAAAGTAGAGGCTCTTTTCCTTAATTCAATATCTACTGTCATCCCTGAAGCAGGTGCGAGGTTTATCTTCATCTGAAAACCACACATTAGAAACACAAATCGCCCACTTTCCTTTCGTCGCAGTGTGCGCCTGTTCATCAATTCCAATTGGGCAAAACCATAACGCATTGACAGACGGTGTGTGACATTCAAGGGCAGAGCTAGTAGCCAAATACAGACTTAACAATATGTATGTTTTCTAATTTTACACTCCCCTAAATGTGAGTTAACAAACCAAAGTTTGTCCTCCTCCCAATGACCGCTCACCTGCGTTGACCAATATCTCTGCGGACAAACAGCAGGAGGGAGGGGGCTCCCAGTACCTCAGCGAGGTATTGCTTCTCAGAGTAACTTCCGCAGGTACTTTTCTTTCTCAGAGCTACCATCCCAGAGTACTCTCACTTTACACCTGTTAATAAAGCTTGTCATCTTTGAATCTCTAGTACTACACTGAACCGTATGCTGTTGACAAAAAATAATATTCCATAATCACATTAAAACATTACAGAAAACTTTTGGTTATTCCATGAATCCGTTCACATTCCTCAGTTCACGTCCACAACACACTCACAACACACTCACAACACCCCACGTTAGTATTGGTCCATTTGTTAACTCATTCACTGCCCATGGACGACAAAATCGTTCTAAGTTTGTATAAGTGACGCTCACTGCCCAAGAACGACTTAGACGACTTTTTCGTGTTATTACACGGGAGGCTGCAGTAATTGTCTGGCGACACCTTGTTAATGACCCACAACACTGATATATAGTGCAAG